AATAGCTCCCTCAGTCCCTATGTATCACCCAATTGCTGCAACAACTTGGATTTGAAGTAAATGAAGGTTTATAGGCGGTCAGAGGGGAGAAAGTTAGGTGGAAGGGGCGCGGTGCCACTTTCCTTCTCTGCGTGCGCGCTTTGGAATCGTGGCGGTTGGATACTACTACGAGGGTACTACGATATGTATTCTAAATATTTACTCCGACGAGGAGTTCACACAATTAAGATCGAACATCACTTACAGGTAAGTTCGTTTGATCATGTAATTATATTGCATCCATGAACCTACCCACATTGTGTGCAACATAACCTTATACTCCTTTATATAATCATTAGCCACTGCTTGATCTGCATTAACGTCACTTTCCCGCAAATAACGTTGGCCGCCCCCTCGTATCATGTTTTTATCAACATTGTCCAGCTTGGCTGGATATGTACATACGTAGTTGCCCGAAGATTAGCATCAACGGCCCCGCAGAGTTATTAAGTAAGAAACCCATGAAATTTCAATAGCAACCGACAAAATGTCAACGTTTTGACTAGATAGCTGCTAATGTTCAAATAGTTCGTGCCGCTATTTCTCGCTGTGAGCGCTGCGAGCGTCACCCTAGCATTATCTATGGAGGAAGGACTCGACGACATACTAACGTGTCTTGTTGGTTGCAGAATGCTGAGTTAGTCTGTAGGACATGTATCTCAGTAAATCAGTGATATTTGCTATGTGGGAAAATTATTACTGAATATGATTCCCGTGAAATATACTAGATGTATTAGACTGGTTATTTGTGTTCGCCTTCCTAAAGAGAAGTTATGTTCAAAGTTATAAAATAAAATTTCCCCCGTTTTTTTTTCAAAAATTTTGAGAAGCATTAGATGAAATCACCACCGCGCCCGCGTTGTGTGTAATTAAGTCATATCACAGTAAAGAGGTCTGACGCATCACACGAAAAACATCTAGGCCTCACATCTAGGTGCTGATTTGTATTGTCTACTTGACATCGCAAAATTGAATTTCTATAGAATTTTCATAAATATTCCTGTCCGCGTATTTCCTTAACAGTTGTAATATACTTCGCCAACTAGGGATTTTCTTGTTTATCTCTCTCATTTTACATTTCAGGTAAGTGTATTTGAGAGAAGGAACTAATGAAATTACCACTAACGCATATTATTAGCACACAAATCCTCTCTATGCACCTTTGATCTGCCGTCTGCTTCCAGCTGTAGCATACAACTCACAGCTTAGACCTCCAATAATGTTACATCACATCAGAGCCAAACATTGACAGTTGCGTCATGATGTTTAGGCAACGCGTACAGCTACAGAACGAGTGTACATGATTGTATAGTTAGTTCTGAACTGACATATTATAGAGGAACCTTCATAATGTCGCAAAAACGTATATAATGTCCAAAAATCCGACCTAATGTCACTTTTCAAGATACGTAATACCACTGCCAATTATCCTCATTACTCGTAACATAAGCACTTATTACCCAACTATGCTAAAATCTTATAAAAACAAAATGGCTGATTTTAATGGTGAAATTCAACCTTGAAATCCGTATTTAACTGGCTACAGCCTATACAGTTTAATGGATTTTGACGTATGAGGTATTGCTGGATCCATCTTAGCAGTACGAGTGTCACAAATCACATCAAAATTTTACAAAAACCGTAATAGCAGACTTTAATCGAAAGATCTAGCCTTGAAATTCTATTTCACGGGCTACAGCTTAGGCGGCTTGATTCTACATATGAGATGCCCGTAGATTTGCCTTGACAGTGCGTGTGTTACTGAGTTTACTAATATTTTGTGAAGTCCAAATGGCGGATGTTAATAAAAAATGTCAAGTTTGAAGTTTCAATTTCAGCTTAAGAGACTTGATGGACTTTGAGGTTTGCTGTGTCCTTAGATTTGTCTTGATGGCACAATTCAAATTTCACTATTTTCAGTTACTGCAGTCGGGGTTTTTGCATTTCTCTAAAATTTACTTTTTTAAGTTCATAATTACGTGATACTTGATTACATTTTTGTTATTTTCGTTTGTTTTTATACTTCAAGGTAAAACCACAAATATTGCAATGTCTCATTGCGCTTACAATTTGGCTTCTCACGCACCGAGGTGTTATTGCACCCCTTTCTACCCGTAAAGCGTCCCTGGTGTTCTCCATTCGGCAGCTCGCTTCCAGCTATTTTCTCGCTATTTTTCACTCAATGCGAGCATTGTCAGTCTTGACTAAATCGAATTTAATCAGGAGCGATTGCATTTGGTGAACGGCAGCTATTAACTTATTGGAGATTAAGTGGGCTTGCAGATATCGAAACTGATTATTTTTTGTGGAAATTGATGCTGCTGTACTACCGTCCCTCCTTCGCAAAAATAAACTATCGTGACGATTGAATAGATGGAGATATAATTCGGAAGGATATGACCTAATCAGTTTTAGAATAAGAAGCTGGAGATTGCAAGTAACATGTAACATCCAATGTCATATGACATGATGTACATACATCTATATCTTCTAGTTTCGGAACCGGTATCAGCATATTTAAGGACTGATTCCTGCGGATTACAAATTTTGATCATCAAATATTTCCTTTTCAAAGGAAAAACTTCTCCAAATGTTCAACATTAAAATTTTCAATATTTTCATAACTTTGAAATATTCAAAATTTTGGAATATTCCAAAATTTTTATATTTCCAAAATTTTCTAAACTTTTATTCTGGAATTTTTCAGAACTTCCAAGGAATTCAAAATATACAGTTTTCAAAGAATGTATTAAGAATTTTCATGATTTTCATGAATCGGCGCTGAAGGCTCGAGTATAAATGTGGAGAGAACCTTATTTTGAATTCCCGTACCGCTCTTTTGGAAATTTGTATGATGATCTCTCTCGTTATTGAGCAATTGCTTTGGATCAATTCTACGAGTACATGCTTTGATCCGGCACTGTTCTAATTTTGTACTTCCTCGCTCTCACCCTTCCTTATTTAGCTCACAATTCTCAAGTTATGTCTAACATCAAACAAAAGAAAGCCCCTAATGGAACAACTGTGTTCTTAGAAGCTTCGGCATCTCAAATATATGAATGAACACAAAAAAATGGTGGCAAATGTGTTTACACAAGTTATCCAACAAAAGGTTAGGCTAGACCTGTTGCGTGTGGACTACACTGGATGCTATCTGTTTGAAATAGAGTGGAAACTTACAACTTATATTTACTACATTGCATGATTTACTTAATTATAGACCGAGACTGAAGTACTAACCATTTACATGCATGCGTTTAGGGAAATTGTGGGGAATTTGAAGCATAAAAATGCAAACCACCCTTCACGTTGTTTCAAATTAAGCTTTTATACTTTCTGCTTTGGAAAAGTCAATACCATCCTATACTTTATCAACAACTGCATCGATAAACCCACAAATTTCAGCGTCCCACACAGAAATGCCAAGGATTCAAACAGGGGCGTAGAAACCGCTGAATCAATGATAGCATACAGGGTCACCCACCCGTGAAAGAAATAATGCGTAGTGTTATCCACAGTATTATCTTTCCTATTTTTAACTCTCCAAATTACAAATTGATTTAAAATTAAATGTGGCTGGATAGTCTTAGGACTTGTAAGACCTATTGACGATTTAACAAAAAACAAGATTGGAAAAATAACATCAAGCAGACTGAATCGATACTTCCCACGCATTTACGTATGCATACTTTCAGATTTTTCTTAAGTTAAGAATAAGCCCTAAAATGTTTGAGCTCTGACCAACGTTTTTGGCTACGTTCTAAGCTGAAGTGTCATACGGATGCAAGTTTTTGAATCTGTTCAAAATTATATCCTCAAAAACATTTTGATTACGCCTAAAAATGTTCAGATGGTTCTAAAGCATACAAAAACAAACTTCAGGAGCGACATAAGATACTGTGTTTGTTGCTCATAATACAGCTGTCACTTGAATGATTTTCAAAAACGAAGTAGTAGAATCATGCCTTCTCGACATTCTTGACCATAGTTTATCCAAATCGGTGCACCCCTTTCCAAGATTCCGAAACTATAAGAATTTAACACACAGAGAGACCAATAGACAGATCGACGGAAATATGTGTCACAGACTTACGTATTAAAGCCATCAAAAAATTATCTAAAATTGTTTGCGGTCAAACCACTTCCCTCTGTTACTCGTGGAGAGGTTAAAGACCAGGAAAGCCTACCTATCTGCGTTTCCTGGAACGTTAGTTTTGTAGAAATCAATACGTAGATAATATTTATTCCTATTATTCAATTCAAGAGTTTGGTTTCTGTTTCTTATCTTTACCTCGAAGTTTACCTTCCATTTGGATTTTGCCACAATGAGGTACACCCTCATGACAAATTTTGATATGGGGCTTTTTTTTCCTGAGGGAGCTTCTGCAAGCTATACCACTGAGTTCATCTGAGGTATCAGTTTCTCGAATTAGTAATGTTTTGGACATTAGCAAAAATTTGTATTTTGCATCAGGGGGCTTTCATGTCTGGCCTGGAGCTGATTGTTCTTCACGGACACAGTCCTGAAAGATGTGAGCTAGTAACTTCCGTCAAAATTTTATTGAATTATACTATGTTATTCGGAAGTTAATTAAAAAAAAAGTCGATTTCCAATTGTGATTCTCTGGAACCTCAAGGATAGTCGAAGTCACAATAGTCTTGGAGTTTTGGAAGCATCCTGTGTATTCCACACATTCCAACTCGCCTGGCGGCATCGTAATCACCATGGCAATTACATTTTTTTCTATTCAGCAAAGAAATTAATCGTGCTATGATCTGAAACTTCAGCTTACCCCCCTCCCATCTCCCAAGTGGAAGCAACGACTGCGACTTACCAGTGCTCTATTACCGTACTTGATATGTTATAAATCATCTCTGAGGATCAGTATTCAGAAACAAGGTTTAATATTTGAAATAGGCACTCCGTGTTCTTTTTCTATATTTAGCTGCGATCTATATTTGGTCTTCAAAGCAGCTACGGCCGAAAATCCTGTTTCGCAAAGGTAGGATGTTGAAAATTGTAGTAGTATACGAAACGCTCTTTTAGTGCCGAAAACTCATCGTTCACGGCTGCCCAAAATTCAAAGAGGGATTTATTATTAAACTATTATTTGAGTTTGGGGTTTGCCATCAAGTCTGTGAAGATTTTTTCTTCGGCAGTTGTGTGCCCTTCGGGAGTAATTTGAAACGGATTCCTAACCCAAGTATTAATTTTGTCGTCGCAAAGAGAATATTTTTTAAAATTCTTTGTCAGTATCGCTAAATGATTTTCAAGGGCTATGTAAACAACTTTCAAGTCTTGTTTTTCAACCTTCAAGTTTTACTACTTTCATCCACATTTGCAAACATTTCCAGGTTTTTTTGCATTAAATTTCTGCTCCACAACCCCAATTTTCTACAAAAAACGTTAACTTTATCACTGGTATCCAATATAATATGTGTATTTGCTCTTTGGAGCTAAAGGTTCAAGATATTTAGTTTCTCGAATATGTCGACCAAGTAACTCAATTTCATCAGAAATGAACCGTCTCGAAACATCTCAGCTTCCGGTCGGTTTTCTTCTAGAAAAACGGCGATTTCATGTCATAGTTCAAAAACACGTTGTAAACATTTCCCACGTGATAAACATCTTGCCTCGCAATGCTGAATGCCATATCTTTAGAAAAGTGCAGAAAATATTCTAGTTTTCAAAGGTGTCATTTTTATGTAATTAACTACCGTTACAACCGTAGTTGGCCAGAAGACATTTCTTTGGAAGGCAGAGCTTCTCTGTAAATCATGCAATGTTTTCAGATGCACCGTGCAGATTTTTATTTTACAAGGGCTTGTATAGTATGTATACTTTTAAAGCTTCCGAGCATTGAACAGCCCCATCTGTGCATATTCCGACGCACTCTATGTTTGTCTCGACTATATAATCATTAGCAATCAATAAAATAATGCGAGAGCTGTTGCTTTGAGTTCTATAGGTTTGCAGAAAGGTAGTTCTTCTAAATGAAGAAGTAAGTGAATCTTTTTCATTCACAGTGAAAGTTTTTTTAAAAATGATTTTTGCTCTTCGTATGATTTTAATTTTAACTCGAAGAATTCTCGGGGTTTGTTAACGAACTCACTATGGAGCGTTTCCAAATGTCGTTTAAGTTTATTAGGTTTCATGCTATCTGCTGCTAAAGTTTTTTAGCAAATGACACACATAGGCCTCTATCCTTCATTGACTTCAGTACATGTAAATCCAAAATTCATGAGAATATTTTCTTGATTTTATTTTTGGAACCTCTCTCGCCTGTTCAGTTGTTGATGCTTCACTAGTATCAAATGCTCGCTTACGCCCACTTGAAAATTTATCCACGATTTGGTATAAATTTAGATTTACTGCTGGGGATATATATGTATATTTTAATACCGTGAACTACAAATAACACGTAAATTAGCAGATACGCATTCACAATAGATTTAGCACAAACAGGACGACTGACTTGACGGACCAGAATTGAGGAGAGGCGGCGTGTATACACGTTCGCGCAGACGGTCGAGAACTTCCGGGATAACTCGAAGAGAGGCATTGATTCCGGATTTGCCAATGCAGCAGATCGGCGTTGCCAAATAACTGTAAATTTACTTATTCTGGGTAAGTTGTAGGATTTGTAATTAAGGTTGTAGTGTAAGCTTAGCGTCGAAATACTCAAGGTATATTATTATTGTATAAACACATTGTTATTGTATGATGGGAGGGGGGAAAGGGGCGCGGTGAAAATAATTATTGAAAATTGAAAACATTACTTAGCTTTTTCAAAGTTGAATTATTAAGCACTTCTGTCCACCTTTAGATTAAGGTGCTTCATGATTCTCACTCTCAGGCTTCGAAGAGAGTGCATATGTTGTAAGAAAACTTTATGAGAAAGCTTTTTTCTACAGAGTAGGCGTCCTCGTATGTTTTTCTGATATCTGTATACTATACTACATTTTTAGTCACAAACATCTAAAATTTCGTTCCTTCCACAGACTGAAAAAAGCTGCAGCTGTCTTGTATAACAAAGTCTATATGTATTTTGCTCATTTCGCATAGATCCTCCACTTCACATAATTTCATTCGTATAAGATCCTCGACTTACCTAAAATTTGGCTAAGTACGGTTCTGCCGTCTTCTCCTAAACAGGCACTTCTTGCATCAAAAGGGTTCGTGAACTGAACAAAGGCATATCCTTTGTGCATTGATATACCTGAAAATAAATCAAATTTGTTATTGAGGAAGTACCTATATTGAAATGCTAAACGGGATGGTAATCTTATAATATCACCAGACTACGAAAGACTATCGAGACACATCATGGAATGTAAATGGTGCTTTCTCACTTAATGTCAATACCCAATGATGCGATTTTCTGGTCCATTTTAAGAAAAAAACTTCGGGTGAACGGATGTCCTAAGCATCTTAACTTCTGAGACACAGGGTATACAGTTCTCAAAAGTTAATCATTTATTATTAATATAACTTGAGATATTTTAATGAAATTTGTCATGCATGCACTATGTATTAAGAGGCGTTCTTTAATATACCACATTTTTTTCAGTTTCCCCAATGTCGTTTCACCTACCTATTTTGGCAGACATTGATGGAACACCATCGATTTCCTTTAAATAAAAATTGTTCTTGAAATACCTTGCACAAAAACATATTTAATTTGTAATGAGTAAGATTTTTTTCTGCAAGACGCTTGTGTACAGTTTTTTGATGACATAGAAACTAAAAACATATTTTTGAAAGATAGTATTATTACAATTTCTGTCCAAATAAAAATATATTTAAGATGATTATTGGAGCTTAAGAATACTATATGAGTATTATTATGGCGATATCTCGCAAGCCAGCTGACATAAGCACCTAACGTCAGACTCAGTGCGACATGTATGTGAATAGAAATATCTTCACACACTACAGGCTATATTTTATAGTAAAAATTCAGGATAAATATGGTAGAAGTTACCCCAAATTATGGCATGAAATGTTTACTTCCGGTTTTGCACCCTATTATAAATGAGCTATGATTTATGTTACAATGTACTTTAAAATATCATTATAAAATATTCAAATTGTGGCCTGTTGATGCAATATCTCTTAAACCAGTTGACCTAAATGAGCATCTAACGGAATACGCAGTGCGACATCTATGTACATAAAAGTACGTACCTCCTGAATCAATACACATACCATTTCAAAACTTCTGGTGTATTTTACACACACTTTAGGCTCTATTTTGGAGTAAAAATCTCAAAAATAAGAAAATGCAAAGTCACTCAAATTGCGGTTTGAAATGTTTACTCCCGGCTTAGAACCTTGAGTTTTTTTAATTACATATTTGGTTTTTCCATTAAAAATTTACGTTTCATGTTCCATAATTCGAGAAAACTCTTCGAAAAAGAGCCAATTTCAGATACAGCTTTTCTTTCGAACTGGCGCGACAAAAAAGTCGTGTTTTCCCTTTCACACCTACTAGATGTACAAACAGGCCGAATGTGACCGAATTTTTAAAACTCACTTTTTTTTCGGTGTCCGCTTCACGAGAAATGCCCATAAAAACAAAGAAATGCCACCCGATTAGCTGGTTCCACTTCTATATAAAGTTGGTAAGCGTGGTATCCAAACACCGACCAAACAAACCCGCCTCATCTCGACGCACGTCATCTGAACTAAGCTTTAATGTAACGCCTATGTTAGTATCTTCCGTTCACGTAATTCATTGTAGGAATCCAAAGGTTTGCAGTACAGTAGTTTGTCGGAAGTTTAACTAAACTTTAATTCTGTAGGCTATGCGTAAATTTGTATGCATGAGCTTTCACATAGATCTGCATATTTCATGAGCCTGATAATCACTAACGCTATATTCTCCAAACTTGCCACATACATAAATACATAAAATCTAGTCACTTTCAGCCTACTTAGATGCCTACTTAAAAGACAAAGGCCTATTTCTGGAATTAGCTTTCTGGAGATATAAGCACAACATTGGATTTAGTAGTTAGGTGGACCGTACGTCAAGCTCACTTGCAGAGAATGCAGTTTTATTTTATATTAATTCCATAGTTTGTTCGATTTGATTTAAGCTCTTGTACAAAGAAGAAAGTCTTATAAAATAGCGGGCTACAGGCAAAAAATGAATGACAAGAAACTGGCGCTATCTCCAACTTCCGTGCTCTTTACTACATAATTACATTCTTAAATAATGAGAACGATGTGGTTGATCGTTTTCCACAATGTCGACGTTTGAAGTAATACAACACAAGCAATACAAAGTAAGTTTATGGTACACTTTCCAAACATTTTATGCCACAGACGCATCTCATGAATGCAGCGAGAACTGATTAAAATATAGGTATTTCTATGTCGTTGAGCTTCTTCAAGAGCGACATACTGCATTTTTATACCTCAATGTGATTCTATTTCCTAGTAAAAGGATATATCTAAAAACTTTTGTAGTTTCATATGTGCTTTCATTTCAGGAATGATGAAGCCAACCAGCAGAAATACGTATCGCTCGGGTTACCTATCCTAGCCAAACTACACATTATAGTATAAAATGGCTAGAAGACCAGGAATTTTCAAGGCGACATCTAGCCACAACCACGCGGCCGGTTATAACCACTTCAAGCCCAAAGGATCTACAAAGAGAAAATAATCATACGGAGAAATTTATATAACAAAAAATAGGAAAATAATGAGCAAAATCCGCAACAAGGAGGAAAGTGGATTCGAGCAGAAAATAGGATAGGTAACCCGAGCGATACGTTATTCTGCTGGTTAGCTTTATCAGGCCCGAACCATGGCCTCTAACTCGGGGAAGTTTGGCAGTTCCATATGACCGAAGTCTTAGAAATGAACGCGTAAATAGCTTTGGGGTAGGCTGGCGTCTGTTAGGAAATATACGTTGACACTCCCGGGAAGCCGCTAAAGTATTTCCATTACAGAACTCGTACACAAAAGTAATATCGGCGTACTCATCATTGCAGAATTCTATTTCACAACACCCAAAAATGGAAAAAACAGCTTTTGACTTGACTCTTACCAAAAAAATTGTAGTAGTAACGATAACAACCGTATAACACATAACTTTGACAAACTATAACAAGAAAGGTCAAGTTGCTGTCAACGCCTCCTATTTTATTTTGAAACTAATTGTATCTCTGCTCTTCATGAATGACCTAATTTGTTTTATTTTTATTTTTACGAGAACAGTGCACTCTAGGGAAAAACATAGAAGGAATTATTAAAAAAAACGGCGTACTATTTTTATTTGTGAAATCCCCTGTATCTCCGCCACTGGTGCACATTAATTTTAAGTAAAGACTTTTGGATGAGTATAATACTCAGATAGATCCGCATACCAAATTTTGATTCATTCCAGTTGACGGTTTTGAAGATATTATAAAAAATGTTTCATATTCAACTTCAACCCCCTGTATCTTCTTAATAAAGCCTTCTAGGGAAAAATGTTACATAGAAGACCCCCTTAAAATGCGGTCCTGTGTATGATGTTTCATTTTAGGTCCCGACTTGTGAATCACCCTATATATATATGGAAATAGTTTATTCCAAATTTGTTTAGGTTTAAGTCTTTATATACAGAAAACATATCTTTCAAACTCAGTCATGTTTCATGTTTCATTAAAGACATTTACAACAGTGCTCTACGAGTATATATCGACGGTACCCTGGAGGGGTCCTGAGAGACCAAACTAGAAAAATAGGTATAACTGCTCGCAAGAACATTGAAAAATTCGATTATTGGACAAAAATACATTCACATAATGAACCGTAATGTGGATGACTTGAAACCTACCTTATGGTTTCCGTGGTAAGCTAAAATAGAAACCAGTCTCAAAAAGGCTCGAAATGCGGTCAAACAGAACTTCAAGCCACGTTGTTCATGTTTCCACCAGTCTGATGACGCTATATAATTTTTTTTGCGCATCGATAATTCTTTTCATCTCAGTGATTGGAACTATCGACCTAAGGCGAAATTTTTGAAAAAAATATTAAAGATTGGTCTCCTCTAGGTGACATTGGCAACTGGATGGTTAACAAGTACAAAGGTATGTCGAGAGCATGTCACCATGTATCAAGATCTTTAGCTAATGAAATATTTTTAAGTCAATTTTCGCATACCTTCGGGAATTGACAGTATACTAGACAACGCCTAATGTATTTATGTTGTAACTCGTTCGAATTTCGTCCATCCAAAATG